TGACAGGTTGTCTGCATACCACTGGTGGTACCCATACCAGATTGGGAACCACTGGTATAGACTATAGTGTAACCAATGTGCTTATAATGCTCACCTGGGGCACTGCCCCAGCTTTAGCTGGTGGACACAAATGTCTGCTGTTTAATTTAGGCCAAACCTCAAGTAAACATGTCCAGGAATTTCCCATTGAGAATTTATAAATACCTTATCGGGTTCATACAAGTTATCAATTAACGATAACTTTTCTCCTCAAGAGAGCTTTCAATCTAAGCAGAACAAATAGAGGGTGGGAAGGGAAGCAAAAAGACATAGACTTGCCCTAAATCAGACAAAAAGTCCAGCCCTGCATCAGGAATTACCCAGGTCTTCCAAGCCCCAGGCCAACAGTACTGGTCTACAACTACCATAAAATTGTCTCAGAAAGAATACACTGTGTCTTCTGAATGTCAGTATCTAGTCATTTCTGGAAGTGGCAGAGCTGTATACATGTAAGGTTTTGCAAAGTATGACGTGTGATCACAAGGCATCTACTGGATTTCATCAGACCAGCTTTAAGAAAATATTTGATCCCAGAAAGTTCCATTTTCACCATGTCCCCTGATTTAGAGAAGATAAATGCCATTCAACTTTTTGCACTGTTTAAATGTTATTTTATTAAATACCGTCAGTTCAAGGTTTCATTGTAACAAAGCTATGAAGGTTCTACCAACATTCAGACCAAACAAACAAACACTAGCTAACTTTGTTTTAATTTCTATATCATGCAAAAATTCTGCATCAAACACCTTCCATTTCCTGTTTAAAACATGATATTTATAATATATATTATATAGATGCTTATATTAGCCCCATAAGAGAACATTAAGAATGCTAAAGGTGTACAGCTGTGTCTGATAATGGCCATACCAAGCTAAGGTTCTCATTAACTTAAAAGAAAAAACAGTTAGTCTTCAAGACTGTGCAAAACCAAAAAACCCAACAATTTAACATTTTCTTTGAAAGATGCAGATACTAAATACAGAGGGTTTTTAATCATTAATAATCATCAGGTAAAGAGACAAGGAAAGATCAGACCTAAAGAAGGCATGCATAACTTCTTGTATGTTTCTTTTTAAAACTGCATAATTGTAGTCTCCTGTTTGCTCTCTCTGTCTTGCTTTAAAAAATCTGAATAAAATAACAAAGCTTTTCCTTTCCACCTCACTCACTATCTTAGTGCCATCTTACAAATGTTCCAAAAATAATAAAATCTAGTGTTTGCCGCCTCTTGTTTCAGTCCTCACTTTGCCTATGCGTGCACTTAGGGTGCTGGAGGAAGGAAGAAAACTGTATTTGTTCAGACAAGCTTTGGGAAGCATCGTGGATCAGCTGCTCTAATCATGGCGTGGGATTGACTTAATTGTCTGCTAAATGAGAGTGGAGAAATTTCCACTGCAAGGATTTAACTCCATTCTGTTCTACAGCTTCCATTTTTCTTCCCCTCTATTCTGCTCAACAATGCTCACTTTATAACTTAGCTTTCCCTTTTCTCCAGACCCATTAAAATGTTTCCTCCCTTTTAATATACTATGTATTCAGTCTCTCTGGAATGCAGGGATAACCTACTGGTAAGCCCTGTGACCACAGTTTGTGATTTGGAGTTGCGAATAAGTCTGTACCTGTATTCCCTCCAATTTACCAAAAGAAGCAAAGCAACTGCCTCTCTCTTGGTCAGGACACAAGTCATGGTGTGTCCAAGCACTAAAAAGGTTTACTAGAAAGGCCCTTTTCATTCCTGGGGTCAGGATTTATTCATAAGTCAAGAAAAAGAAACAGAAAAAGAAAAGGTTCAACATTTCCCACCTACCAAATAAAGGAAATGGATTCCCGCCCCACAAAGACAGGGAACAGAAAGATGAATTGGCCCAAAGGACAATCAGATCACATTCAGCAACTCCCTTTTCCCTCAATTTCATGAGTTATCCTCTATAATAAAGAGAGAAAATGCCAGGAGGTGGCCTGGAGCCTGGCTGCGGTACATTGCAGTTCTGATCTGAAAGTTTTCCAAGTTACAACATTGCCATAAAAGTAAGAAAAGTATCCAAATGAACACCAAGAAACAGGATGCCTACAAACATTAGAGGAGTTATTGGTGGGGGAGAAGCAACAGCTGCTGGCTCCCTCTGCTACTTTATTTGGAGAACAAACAACTCAAACTGGAAGGCAGTGAGCCCCCTAATTCTATGGGTGCATATATTTCAGTATAAAAACACACGCTAAATTATGCATCATATAGGAGTGTATGCAAGTCTTCATGAAAGAACGTAACACTAGGTTTCTCATCTGCTTCTTAAGGAACATATATATTCTGTAGCACTGTGGATCCCAGCTATGTTACTAGAAAAAAAAAAATAAAAGAAAATCCCATATATGTACCCTCTTCCTTTAAAAATCTTTCCTCTTAATACTTTTCATCGTCATTGTTTTTTTTTTAATAAACTGGCTTCAAATATCCATGTTCGGCCAGGTAGTGGCTGTCTCTAAAACCAGTATCATCTGAAGAGCAAGCTCCTATTTTACTTATTTATTTTAATTTAAACCATTGTTATTTTCCCTACTTTCATCCTTAGCTGGGAATACACATCCCATTTTGTTTTTAAAGAGTCTTTTTGTGGGATCCAGCGGCTGAGCAACCAGCTTTCTGCAGCATTCTCACCGTGCGGAAGATTTAAGAAGACACTCAGGCTGAAGTCAGTCCACTGGGCAGCAGGAAGGAGAGACGTCTCTTTCCTCCACTTTGTCTCCCTGTTTTTCACACCAGCTTCTCTGGGACCTCCTCACCACTTCTCACTGATTAAAGTTACAGCACAGCCTAAACACCATGTCAGCTTCCACCTTGACTTTGCAGAGCAGAGTTCAGAAATCTGCTGCCCAAGGTGCCCTCTCTCTCTCTCTCTCTCTCTCTCTCTCTCT